AAAAGATTCACCTAGCACAAGGTTTTCAGCCTTTTGACAATTATGTGTATCCAACATAAACCTTGTATTCATTTGTATTGTATTCATTAGAACGCAAAAGGATGAATACTGAGTAGTTAACAGTGATGAAAGACACTTGTAGATAAACCCTTTCAGAGGATACTTTGAAAGGCCTGGAGAGCCACTGGTCGCTCCGCACTATAGGTTTAAGACCCTTGTTCTAGTATCAGTGTTAGTTTGTTTCAAAAGAGGAGAAGGCAAAGTAAACTATGTAGGACTTCCATAAACTTCTGAGCAGTCTCCAGAGCAGAAGCACATTGAGCATGAGCAGTAAGTCCACAGATGATCCTCATGTGAGCAGAGATCTTCAGCCTCACTCTGTCCTCCATAGCACTCCTTGCTTTCTCCTCTGGGGAGTCGCCCAATAACCAGCCCTTTGAACTTTAATGTAAATAAAGTTTGTTGATTGATTTATTGATGGTTGCCGGTGCGATACCCACTGTTTTGATGTGCTTTTTTAAATCAAAGGACAGGAATGGTATGTAGGAACGTATTAGACACAGATCAACTTTGACAGAAAAAGCCACTCTGTAAAATGACACAATGACTTGATTACATTTGAGAATGGATAAATAAGAGCTTACGCTGACTCTAGTGTGGTTTCCTGCATAGTACGCCTGGCCTTGTGTTCACTCTAGAGCAGGGATGCCCAAGCTGGGGCCCGTGGGCCACATCGGTCCCTCTGAGGGTCTAATATGGCCCATGAAGCGGTGAGGACATTGGTCAAAACCAGTCTGACAATCTTTAATGACAGTTAAGTCATTCCTTTCGGCGCAACGCATAATTATCTTTGGCCCTCTACCCACCAATATAGTTTTAGCCGCAGATTGAACGTTTGGCCGCCCCTGCTCTAGAGCTGAGGAGGATCAGCAGGAGAGGAGGTGGAGTGCCAATCTACAGTGTTGGTGCTGTGATCCCTCCTCCTATCCAAAGATTCTGCTTTATCCGTTGCTGGGTTGTGAGGGCAACTGTCTAAACACAGACGCCCGGCACCTCCCGATCCACACACACTTCCTCCAGCTCATCTAGGGGAATCCCGGGGGCTAGCTGAGAGACATAGTCCCTACAGTGTGTCTTGGGTCTTCCTCTGGGTCTCCTCCCAGTGGGACATGCTCTGAACACCTCTGCACTGGGAGGCGTCCAGGAGGCATCTGAAACAGATGCCCGAGCCACCTCAACTGGCTCCTCTTGACGTGTAGAAGCAGCGGCTCTACTCTGAGCTCCTGCCGAGTGACTGAGCTCCTCACCCTCTTTCTAAGGGAGGGACGCAGAGGCAACTCATTTCGACCACTTGTATCTGAGATCTCGTCCTTTCGGTCATGACCCAAAGCTGGTGACCAGAGGTTTTCACGAGAAGCTCACTCGTAAACAAGACCCCGGAGGTACTTGAACTACTCCACTGGAGGAAGGACCTCTGCACCTGGAGAGGCACCTTTTTCCTATCGAGCACCATGGCCTCATGTTTGGAGGTGCTGTACTTTATCTCAGCCGCTTCACACTTGACTTCCCAGTGCATGTTGAAAGTCCTGGTTTGTTTGGAGCCAATAGGACAACATTGTCTGCAAACAGCAGAGAGGAAATCTTGTGGTCTCCAAACTATGATCCCCAACTACCTTACTAAAGTATTTTCATTTTATTTCATTTACTATATTTTATTATTCATTCTATTTGTTTTTTGTTTGACATGGACAATGTCGCCAGACACATTTTACCAAACTTAACTGATGTTATGCATGCAGACTTTAAGGCAGATGCTACTTTACAACGTTCTGTCCCTGTGGGCTTTTCTACAGTCACTTTAAAACCTTCATGAATACAATAATAAAAGTACAATGTCTCTCTTTCATTTCCTCACATACATACATCATATTTGACAGTATTTAACAGTCTGTCAAAACCATTGACAAAGAGTGGGTCTTGAGTCCATGTGCCCTTGTGTGAATGTACATGTAGAGCCTTCACCAGGGCTTTTGGAGGCCGTGGTTTTAGATTCCTCGGCCAAAGGTAAGGCATGTGCATTCGTTTGGGCTGAGGACAGAGACAAGGTACTACCAGCTTTGACAGCACTGAAAAAGACATACACATAAACACATGAGATAGGAGTTTGTATTTAAAGTCATTGTGTCATTATCAAAGATGTCTCAGATGTCTTGTTTCCAGTTTTGTGTTCCAGATGGAGACAGGATTCCGCTGCATCTATCATGTCCTGGTGATTCATCTTCAAATAAGTAGTGAACTTATGAATGAAAGGCTTTGTGTCTGCTCCCACAGTTCACAGATGGATGGAGCTGTCCATGGTATCTAACCATACTACTGCAGTGAAGCACCACTAGAAACCACCCTGATCCTGGCCCTACACAGTGAGAGGCCATTCTGACGCTGGACCAATGACATGGACACGTGTCTGGTGAGCTGGACTCTTTAGGGTCCATTTAGGACCCACAGTGGAATGCAGACATATTGTTACTTGCATAAATGAACTTGTTTTACATTACAGGAACTCAAGCTCAGTGTTGGAAAAGTTATGCTTTTCTACAACTACAATGACTGTTGTTACCTTCCATGCTCCAGCCACGTGTAGTCCAAAGAACACACATCCAAACGTTCGTAAGTCAATATCGGATATGCAGAGTGTTCAGTGTTCATTAGAATGTAAGTGAACACCAAACATGTATTTGACCAAATGTAGGATCTATTCTTGTGAGAGTGACCTGTGGATGCTGCTGTCCACTTCAGGGGAAGAAAGGAACAAGTGCGGCCACAAAGAGACCAGACTCATCCCACGTGAGAGGCCTTCAGTTTGTGTCCTGCTGCTCTTCTGAACTGTGCTCTTAAAAACACATTGGTTTTGTTCAGGGAGGAAACCTGAGGGAGGACTCCAGAAGACGGGGGATTTGCAACAAGATGACAATACTATCATTCTCCTGTTTTATTGTGACGTGCAGGTGAGGGAGCAGCGTCTAACAGTCAAATCATGAGCTTTGGAAAATGACCCAAAGGATAGCAGATACAAGGCTCGAGTCTAAGGTGAGTTTGATTCTGACTAGAGCCGCTGCTCCTTCACATCCAAAAGAACCATTTGAGGTGAGGAGAGGAGTGGATTTGGCACAGTTCTGTTGCATACTCCAACCAGCAACAATACAGTCAATGCTCTTTTAGACATGCCCCTTTGTTGGTTCAGATGCAGTGGGGGCTCCACCAGCGCTCAGCACCACAGAGAGCCACATCCCCTGCTCCTGACCACAGCCCACCAGTGTTCCAGTGTACATAAGATCAGAGCCATGTCTGGAGGAGAAGCTCCAACAGAGGTGAGAGTGAAGGTACCACCAGCAAATCTGTATGAAGATTTACAACAACATTTCAACAATACCATTCTTCTGTTTAATTGTGACTGCAGGCGCCGAGGAGCAGGCGGACCTGTGAACCTAACGGAGAAACTGACCAAAACAAATCTGCAAATGAGTAGCGCCTGACTGGGACGGTGTGCAGTCGAGGGAGAAGCGGCTCCAATGAAACTCAGACACCTCTGATTACAAGGCCAGGGTTCTGGACCGGAGGCAGATTTCTTACCCTCTCCAGGTGGCTGAGAGCTCCTTCCTCCAGCGGTGGAGTTCAAGTGTCTCTGGTCTTGTTCACTGCGAGAGAAGGATGCAGCGTCTGCAGGGATGCTGCCTCTGTATGGGACTGTTGTGGTGAAGAGGGAGCTGAGTCTGGAGCTGGCGCTGGAAACGCCTTATCTCAGCTGAATGGAAGTACGTGTGAAAGAGGGAAGTCTGGGCCACTCAGACTTCTGCCTCTGTGACCCGACCCAGGATTTAAGTGGAAGAAATTGGATGGATGTTTCCAGATGAGCCCAGAACAAGTGACTGAGGGATGGAGAAAGCTCAACATAAGACTGCGCTGAATCAAATCCAAATGTGGTCATAATAAAAATACCAACAATGTCTAATTCAATTTTACTTTTATTTACTTATTTCAGTAATCTTAAGTTTTGTGTGGAAGTGCTGTGTTACTTGTAAGCAAAAGAGAAACAGTCACACACTATTTTGATAATAATTGTTCCTGAGCCTCCTAAAAACATTTTCTTTTCCACCAGATTGTGTAAAAATGATTGTTTTCCTTTACCTTCACTGACTTTTGATAAGTACTATAACTTTTGACTAGAACTTGACATAAACAAAAACAGGCCAATGCTGAAGACAAAAGACAAGTAAACAGTGTGTTGCAAACTACCATTTGCCTTTCTTGATGGAAGATGAAGCTCAGTCCAGAACCAGTTCAGAATCAGAACCTTGAAAAGGGGGCTTTAAATCGCCCTTTAAGATTGTTTGTAAGCAACAGAAAATGGATGAATTTGAATTTTATTTAGGTTAAAAGATATAACTCTCCACATATCAAAAATTATAACATAGATTTATATAAAAGAAAATAATGACAAACACTGAGTGATTACACTTCCACAACTAAAACGCTGTTAAATTGACGGCTCTGGGAGTACTGCTGGTACAAACCCTAATACACCACAATCATTGGGCTTATTCAATATCACCCTTAGTCTGTGTACAAGTCCCTCCATGATTTCACACCAAAGTACATCTGTGACATGTTAATGCCATATGAACAAGCTCTGAGGAGCACAGGGACTGGCCCCCTTCAACTATGCCGGAATTGGAAGAAAAGATATATAAATAATATATTAAAGAACATTAGACTTATTTATAGGGCAATATGATTCAAACAA